ACTTTTACTCCACTACATATTTTTGATTAATTTAATACTTTTAGTCCACTACATATTTTTGATTAATTTAATACTTTTACCCCACTACATATTTTTGATTAATTTAATACTTTTAATCCAGCACATATTTTTGATTAATTTAATACTTTTACTCCACTACATATTTTTGATTAATTTAACACTTTTACTTTAACTCCACTACATATTTTTGATTAATTGAATACTTTTACTCCACTACGTATTATTGATGAATCTAATACTTTTACTCCACTACACATTATTGATCAATTTAATACTTTTACTTTTACTCCACTACGTATTTTTTATTAATATAATACTTTTACTTTTACTCCACTACGTATTTTTTATTAATTTAATACTTTTACTCCACTACATATTTTTGATTAATTTAATACTTTTAGTCCACTACATATTTTTGATTAATTTAATACTTTTACCCCACTACATATTTTTGATTAATTTAATACTTTTAATCCAGCACATATTTTTGATTAATTTAATACTTTTACTCCACTACATATTATTGATGAATCTAACACTTTTACTCCACTACGTATTATTGATGAATCTAATACTTTTACTCCACTACATATTTTTGATTAATTGAATACTTTTACTCCACTACATATTATTGATGAATCTAACACTTTTACTCCACTACGTATTATTGATGAATCTAATACTTTTACTCCACTACATGTTATTGATAGATATATATAATATATATATATATATATATATATATATATAATAATTCTTTTACTGTACTTTAGGCAGGTCCGGGAGGACGGGAAGGATAAGAACTCGGTGGTGTCGTTCACTCTCACAGACGAGCCGCAGCACATCGACCTGATGGCCTCCAGCACCAAGGAGGAGGTACACAGACCGGGTCTGGGTCTGGTCCTGGTCCTGGTTTAGTCTGGTCTGGTTTAGTCTGAGCCCGATCCTGGTCTCGGTCTAGTCCAGTCCGGTCCGGTCCCACTCTGGTCCCGGTCCGGCCTGAGCCCAGTCTGGTCCTGGTCCTAGTCCTAGTCCGATCCTAGTCTGGTCCAGTCTGAGTCCAGTCCTAGTCCAGTCTGGTCCTAGTCGAGTCTGGTCCTGGTCCGGTTCCAGGCTGGTCCTGGTCCGAGCCTAGGCCGGTCTGGTCCCGGTCTGGTCCTAGTCCAGCCTGAGCCAGTTCTGGTTCTAGTCCAGTCTGGTCCCGGTCTGGTTCTAGTCCGGTCCTAGTCCAGTCCGGTCCCAGTCCTAGTCCAGTCTTGTCCCGGTCCGGTCTGAGCCTGGATCCGGTCCTAGTCCAGTCTGGTCCTGGTCCAGGTCCTGGTCCTAGTCCAGTCTGGTCCTGGTCCTAGTCCTAGTCCGATCCTAGTCTGGTCCTAGTCCTAGTCCGGCCTAAACAGACCTCCTCTCTCTCTGCCCTAGGCTCTGCGGCTGGCGGTGGTCTGCAGGGACGGGCAGCTGCATCTGTTCGAGCACTTCCTCAACGGGTGGGTTTCTACTCTTCCTCTTCCTCAGTTTCTCCTCTTTCTCTCCCTCCTCCTCCATCTCTTCCTCCTCCTCCAGCTCTCCACAGCGCAGCCTCCTAGCCCTTTGCTAGCACCTTATGCTAGCCCATATGCTAGCCCCTACGCTAGCACCTTATGCTAGCCTCTATGCTAGCACCCTGTGCTAGCACCCTAGCATATATTGCGAAATGGCAGCACTATAATCAGACTGATGGAGGCCAGGTGGATGGATCCTGTTGTGTTAAAACTCTTAAAGACTGTTCAGGTCTAGAGTTTCAGATAGATTCTAGATGCTAATGCTAATGTTGAAAAACTGGTCTGCATTTTCTCCTGCCGGCCGATACGCAGTTTTTATCAAATGTCGGCGGCCGATCCGATCCAGATATCGGATCAGGACCAGGACTAGTCTTATTGCTTTTATTACTGCTATCGTTATCATTAGTATCAGTAACTTTACCATTTTTCATCCAGTCTCTGTTACTGTGGAGGCTGCCTCTCCCTCTCTCTCTCTCTCTCTCTCTCCCTCTCTCTCTCTCCCTCTCTCTCTGGTTCTGTTCCAGGTTTCTTCCTAATAAAAGCAGTTGTTTCCTCCCTGTGTCTCCTAGTGCTGCTCTTGGTAGAACTGTTTTTGTTTTTCATCCAGTCTCTCTCTCTCTCTCTCTTTCCTTCCCTTCTCTGGTTCTGCTTGAGGTTTCTTCCTCCTAAAGTCAGTTGTTTTCTCCCTGTGTCTCCTAGTGCTGCTGTAGTTCTTTTGTAAATAACTCTTAGTCTGTTTGGAGAGCTGGGAGCTAACTCTTGTTGTGATGTGTTGGATCTCTCTCTCTCTCTTGCCCTCTCTTTCTCTCGCCCCCAACTGGCCGA